TTGCATTTATTAACCCTGAAGCATTTTTCCAGACCAAATAACACTCTAGATTTTTATGTTCTAAACTTCCATATTCTCAGACCCTACATAAGCTCTGTTTTTTTTTTTATCCATTTATTTATCTTAATATACAGGCAACTAACATGAGTCCTGTGAGCAAACCTGTTTTTCTTTCTAAATAAGAGAGCTAGTACCTAGTACTTCTAACTCGCTAATGAACTGATCAATGAGCTAACAGTGGATCTAATTGTCTGCTCTTTAGCTGCAAAGTTATCATAAGCTTAGCCTAGCTGTCAAAGTGATCAGAGACCTGAGAAGGATAAATTATAAGCTAAATAAATATACCAATCCATGTGCCAATCAAAATGACAGAGATGAATATGTAGTCCATCACCTAGGCAGTGTCCCTGGCTCCTGTGGTCTCACGGCATCCTGAACAGAGGCGGTCCTGCCAGGCACAGAAGATGAGAGATTGCTTCTATGGAAAGAGGAACACGAAAGATTGACCTCACCTTGCCTTTTGCAATGTGAAACAATGATCTCCAGGTGTCCATGGCATTGTCCACAGTTTAGGCTGGGCCCTAGCAGTGGGCCAGTTGAGGCAGTATTGCCCAGTGGTTAGCATACCACAATCTAGAGTCACAGTCATCTGTTGTTGTGCCCAATCTTCTCGGAGACCTTGGGGAGCTACTGCCAGGATTTTGGGACTTTCTGTCACAATAAGCTTACACATGTTAAAATGCCATATTCATCATATCTCTGACTAGCTTGAGGGCCAGCAGGTCTGAGTTATTCTTTGTCTATCTTTATCGTCTGCTCTAAACTGTGTCCTATAAAACAGAATGCTATGCTCTCTAATTCTAGCATATTCCTAAAATGCATGTTTTAGAACTATATATTTTAAGTAGCCTAGGCTTAACCTTAAAAAAAAAAAACCTAAACAAAGAGACTAGGTAAGGCTCAATTGCAATATTTAGCATAACTTTAAATCTGCTCTCTCTGAACTAAAATCAAAGCAAACCTTTTAATCAGATACAGTTTATAGAAAGGCTAGCAAATCTTGCTGATCCTACCACTTTGCATTAAAACTGAACAGTAAAAAGCTTTGCTCTCAGTACTAACCAGAGGCCTGAACATAACTGATAGACCCACACAAAGATCGCAGCAAACCTACAGCTCTATCCTCTCTATCCCTGAACCATCATGGCGGCTAGCCATGTGTTAGCACAGGCTGTGACTGACAATACCAAACATAGCCATTAGGTGTTGCTGATGGCGTTGTCACCTCCCATAACCAAAAGTCCTAACACTGTGATCAAATAAATTTTAGAACCAACTGCATAACCTAACAGTACAGAACAATTATAAACTGTATGAATTATTTCAGCCATACCAAACCTATCAGCCAGAATTTTTTCCCCTTAAAAGAGCATAAAAAATTTTTTTTTTGCAATGAGGAATCACCAGCCTTTTAAATGAATTATAACATATTTTTAAATACAGTTCTTTCTCAAATCATATTAATTCTCTGACTTTTTATTAATACATTCACTAACCTTCTGCAACATTCTATATACCTTCAGGTTCAAAGCTTCATTCTTCTGGCTTAACCAGACATTAGACAAGCTATATATATTTTTAAATATCTCTTGCTCTCTCCCTTGCTTTTCAGACAACATAAAAACTCTCATCAAAATCCTTTCCAAAAGTGGGCTGTTGCCCCGGGAGACACCGAGTGGTGCTCACTGGGACCAGGCAGTCTGGGCCTGTGAGAGCAGGCCCTCTGGAGCTTACAGTATAGCAGGGTGACTATGCCCTGCCCCGGAGCCGGGAGTACAAGGTCACCATACTCCACCATGTTGGACAAGGCCACCGTGCTCTGCCAAATTGGAAGTGTGTCTGGCAAAGGTCTAACAATTTCACTCTCGACAGACATACAAAAAAAAAAAAAAAAAAAAAAACAAACTAGACAGATTACCCACCAAAATACTGATGAAGCCAGAGCCATCCACCTGAACTTCGGCAGCTGTGACCACCAATGCGTCCACATTGGTCACGTCTTGCTACCCAGATACTGACACCCCGAGCTCCAAGGAATTTTCAGAATAGAATACGGAAAGGACTGCACATACAGACATTTCACAGAGACATTTAGACACTTATGGCTGGCATAAAAACCTCCGGGTCAGGTTCCTGGAGCCTTGGGGTCCCGGGACAAGCCCCCAAAATGTTCTGCCCAGTTCATGAACCCCAAAAGACCAGGAATAACTAGACTCTGCTGTAAATACATGAGGTTCTTTTTATTGTAAATTACAAGCCGCAGCTTGGGCCCACACCCCCCACCACCGAAGCAGTGGGAGCCAAGCATGCGTGCCCAGGTTAGTTGGGTGATTTAAAGATTCTTGGCCATCCCAGCATGCCCAAGGCAGGGGCGATTCCTGCCTGGCAAGCATCTATTGGTCAAAATGCTACATTTTGAATTGATTGGCTATAGGAAGGTCCCCAGACCATAATGACCTGGTGTCCCCCCCCTAGGGGGATGGGCCAGTTTCCTAGCAACTGTATCTCTAGTGTGTGGGGAAAGAATGCAGTAAGGCAATTCTTCCCCTCAGGGTATTACTGGACTTCTCCACCCACCTAGCTCAGGCCTTAATTAATAGCCCATTTTTAATCTTTTGGTCTCTCATTACCACAAGAAAAAAAAATACAGGTGTAGGTATGCCCCACACAGAGCCATGAGGAAACACTGCCTCATGCACCACAATCTTGCACCCTTTGCTGGCTAGACAGTTGACACACAGACTAGAGTTATCCGACAGAAACTGCAACTGAAAAAAATGCCTCCATGAGAGCCAACCGTAGGGCATCTTCTTAATTAGCGATTGCTGGGGGAGGGCTCTCGGCCCATGGTGGGTAGTGCCATCCCTGGGCTGGTGGTCCTGGGTCCTATAAGAAAGCAGGCTGAGCAAGCCATGAGGAGCAAGTAAATAAGCAGCACCCCTCATGGCCTCTGCAACATCTCCTGCCTCCAGGATTGAAAGGACCAGGCCTCCAATTCCAGGTACAAGATCTTCATCTCCCACCCAAGAAACAGCCTAGAGAAAACCACAGAAATAGGAAGGGACATCTGTTCTGGGCAGCCTTATCTTATCTTGTAGTAGAAATTTCTTTTCTTTTTTAAAATAATTTATTTAAATTTTTTTTATGTGCATTAGTGTCAAAGTGTCAGATCCCTTGGAACTGGAGTTACAGACAGTTGTGCGCTGCCATGTGGGTGCTGGGAATTGAACCCCGGTCCTTTGGAAGTGCAGTGCTCTTAACCACTGAGCCATCTCTCCAGCCCCCGTAGTAGAACATTCTTAACAAAAGAATGTAGTCCATCAACAACCTGGACGAAAGCCAGCCAGGAATTAACCCTGTGACTTCCCTGCCACCCACCAGTTTGGGTTGGTTTGAACTAGTTTAGAGAACCTCCAACCCCTGACCAGGCCCTAGCTAGCCCTAGCCAATCATGGATGCACTCGTACCCTTGCTTTTGACCTGCTCCAATTACAATAAGGATGACCTACCTGTCCCTATAAGACCTGTGCACCTTTGTCTAGCGTCTCTGTTCTGCCTGGATGGTGGCCCCAGCATGCTGGTCTTCTGCAGAATGAACGCCTGTTGTTGCTTGCATGCTACTTGAGTCTAGCCTGTTCTTTCAGCGTCTCCCGGACCCCACCAAGATCCTGCCATGTTTGAGTTCCTGCCTTGACTTCCCTTAATGATGAACAGTGCTGTAGAAGCGGAAGCCGGAAGCCAAAGAAAGTCTTTCCTCCCCAACTAGTTTTTTGGTCATGGTGATTTATCACAACAGTGGAAACCCTAGCTAAGACACAATCCAAGCCATTAACTGTCTCTGTTGGCTAACCACCCTCAGGGTACCGGTGTTGATCTTTCCCTTTTGCTAGAGGTGACCTGAATTCAGACTAATTTCAGTCTTGGTGTCTTCCTTCTTCCTGCAGTTCCCAGGTGCCACCAGGTGAGGGCAGTAAATGGAAAGATTTAAGTCCGCCCTGCTTAAACTGTGGGCCACATAAGCTTGCCTCTCAGGACAGGGGTCAGGTTCCCACCAGGTTGCTCAGGTTGGACAAATGAGGTTAGGAGCTAGCAAAGGAATCAGCCGGCTAACAGGAGTCTTGTCCCAAAGGTCAAGGCCCAAAGGGCAGGCTAATGAACCAGTCTCTGCCCCCTGAAAACAGGAAGTAGTTATTTGGCTACTTGCGTATCTCTCCTGGACTATGGCCTTGTCACCAAATCACCTAAGGAAAGCATTTAAGAAGCAATAACTTGTTTATGAAGAAGCAATCTCGAAGTAACTCTCGAAGGTAAAGAGACAGAGATTGAGATCATGTGTAGTGGTTGACTTTCAAAGAGCGTTCAGGAAAACAGTTTTTAGCTACGTAAGAAATTTTACAAATTATATTGGCGGGTGAGGTAAGACGGCAGTTACGGGAGCACGCCTGACCACGGGGTGGGAGGAGAGAATCAACTTCTGCAGAGATTGTTTTCTGATCTTCACAAACAAGGACGTGCGCGCGCGCGCACACACACACACACACACACACACACACACACACACATACACACAGGTAAAATGTAATAATAAATTTTACTAGTCTGTGTATCGGACTTCTGGGAGTTATTTATTCCATACACTCTTAAAAAAATCAACGGCCAAACGCTGTCACAGTTTAGGATGAATCCACACTAAATGAACTGTCCCTTTTGAAAAGCACAGGTGGATTTAATTTTTGCTGGTTCGCATTGGGAGGAATTGTCCCCTAGGCTGGCTGCTTATGGATCAAAACCACAAAGTTAAAGCGCGTGGCCCAGACCCTGGCTTGCCTCCGGTCTCTGGAGGAGCAGTTACTGGGACCTTCGGTGTGGGTGCCGCGGGGAGGACCCGCTGCGTCCTGCCCTAGGCCGGTCACTCCTCCTGCTACCAGGGGCGGGGCCTGGCGACGAGTTAAGTGCGGCCCAGGCCGGGCGGCCTCATCCGCCGGCCTCCGCCATGGACTGTCCGCGCGCCGGCCACAGGCTGCGGGTGGTTCTGGGACACCTCAGCGGACCCTCGGCCCCAGCGATTGTATCCTTTGGGCTGCGTGCGGGAGGGCTCAGGCTGGACGAAGCGCCCCCGCCCCGGTGCGCCGGAGAGCCGCTGCGCCGCCGGCTCTGCCCTGTCCCCACTCCCCGGGGAACTCGGGAGGAGCCTGCACCCCCATGGGCGGTGACCCGCCGCTTCCCCAGAGGCCCCCTGGCCAGGCGGGCGGTGGGCGTGTGACTCCCGGCCCGCGCGGACCGGTTTGAGCCCGCTCACCACCGAGGCTTCTTGCTTCGTGTGAAAAAGAGAGGCGTAAAGCTAGAGGTGGCGACGTCATCACAAAGAGGACTTTGCCGTTTCCGGCTGCCTTGGCGTTTTTTCTGCCCTGTACCTGAAAAGGTCAAGGACAGTTGTCCTGTAAACAGTTTCAGAGCCGCTCGCTTGTGGCTAAGGCAAGCAGGGATCCTCGGCAGTCAGGAGGGGGCGCCAGTCGTCAGAAAAAGAAGGCGCGGGATACAGGACTTAGCCTTGCAGGCAGACGCCCCTCTCCACCTGTCCTCAGGGTCCCCTTCCCAGGGAGCTCTGTAAGCTCTTTCAGGGCCCCAGGTCTCTCAGGTTTCCCAAGCTCTGCACCGGTTCCCGGAATGAGTGCCTGACAGAATGTGTGAGGAAGTCAGAGGTGCAGAAGAGACCAGAGTTAAGTCCATACGGATAAATGCTGGATAAATAACTGAGTCGAGAAGCCAGGTTTCATCCTCTAAACCCACTTTAAAAATCCCAGGTCTGGTGATAAATGCTTGTGGTCCCACCAGGAGATGCAGGCCTGAGCTGAGCATCAAGCTGGCTTCAAGGCTGGCCAGCCTAGTGGATAGGTAAAAGTGAGAGACAAGTCTCAAAAAGAAGAGCAAAAGCAAAGCAAAACAAAAAACTCTAAACCAAGGCTTGCACGCAGGTTCTCAAGGCTTGCAAGCAGGTTCTCTCCCCCCCCCCCCCCCCCCGAGGAGGTAACAAAGTGTAGGCGGCTCAATCCAGGGTTCTGGCCCTGGAAATTGCTAAAATCAGCTCTCTGGGATTTCCCCTTAGGCACTCAGATTACGCCAGTTCTTGCTTCTTTCCTGGGCACCCGGTGTCTCTGAGGCTGATCCTAATGGCTGTGTTTGACCTTCCCTGTTGCTCAACTGCTGGGGGGTTGCTGTGTGCCAAATCTGCAGCCAATTTAATCTCTTGTCTACTGGCTGACAGAGACAGACCATGATATCAGATGATGACTCGACTTCAGTTTACATTGAGGAACTGATGGGGAGAGATCTTGAGCAAGTGTGTTGATGTAAAACAGGAGCTAGACCTGCAGATTATCTGGGGGTGGAGTACCACAATCTATTTCTTCTTGGCAATTGGACATATGCTACATTTTGAGAAAGTCTGATGTATTGGTACTAGATATATTTGGAATGAAACTGCTGCAGTCTCTCACTATTGTTTTGGATTTTTTGTTGTCGTTGTTTTGTTTAAGATAGAATCTTACTCTGTAGCTCTTGCTGGCTGGAATTTGCTGTAAAGACTAGGTTGGCCTAGAGCTCACACCTGCTTCTGCTCCCAAGTGCTGTCATTTACAGTATACACCACCAAGCTCACCTAGGTACTGCCCTTCTAACTTGAGTCCGTTTCCAATTTAAATTGCCAGATGTAGCTAGCATCTGGTATTGATGCCAACACAGCGCCTCGCAGCACCCCCGAAGTCACAAAAGTCATAAGGAATGTTTTGTATTTACATAATTGGCATTATACTGTAGTCAAAGCTTTCTGCATCCACTTTTCACTTAACCTCATGCATTCGACATCATCAAACGTTTCCTCAACAACAACAAAGTTGTAGAATCAATGGAAAGGAGCCAAGGAGACTGGCTTGGGGACTGAGGTAACTTGCTCTGTAGACCAGGCTGAAGCAGGCCATCTCTGTGAGTTCAAGATCAGCCTGGTCTACAGAGCAAGTTACCAGTTAGTCAGCGCTACACCGTGGGATCCTGACTCAAAAGACAGCAGAGAGGAAGGAAGGAAGGAAGGAAGGAAGGAAGGAAGGAAGGAAGGAAGGAAGGAAGAAATAAAGAAAGAAAAAATAGGTCACATATAGCAGTCTATATTCACACATCTATAATTTCACCTCTCAGGAAGTAGTAGATAGAGGCAGAGGATCAGGAGTTCACAAATTCAAGGCCAGGACTTGTTTTATGATACTTTAGGACTTTAGGATACTTTAGGAAAGTCATAAAGCCGGAAAAAAAAAAAAGGCACATTATGATAACAGTATTCGGGAGGGTAAGGCCAGAGGAGGCTGAGACCAGCTGCCCCGTAAGAACGTCTAGGCCCACTCTTAGTTTCTTAGTGAGATTCTATTTCTGAACAAAAATAAATGATAAACAGTTTACGTGAAGTGATACTGTGGGGTTGCTTGGTTCGCCTGACACAGGGTCTCACTGTGTAGACCTGACTGGCCGTGGTGACAGTGAGAGGAGGCAACATAAGCACCAGTGGTGTTGCCCGTCCAAGGTCACACAAACACTCCTTTCTCCATAGAAACAAGGCAGGAGGCTGGTGTTCGGCAAAGAGGTTGGCTCCTATGTTCTACTGTGTTTTTCTTAACTCTTACCTAGGTAGCCCATCCCATATCAGGGCAGGCTTCCCACGTCAGTGTCTATCCTCAACAATTCCAGTAAGTAGAACTCCTTTTCACCTGCAACTACACTATGTACATGTTCTGGCTAGTTTGATGACAACTTGACACAAGCTATAGCTATCTCCGAATCTTGATGGAGAAATGACTCCTTAATATTGGGCTGTAGGTAATCCTGTGGATCATTTTCTTGGTGACTGATGGTTGAGGGCCCAGTCCATTGTGGACTGGTGGTTCTGGGTACTATAAGAAAACAGTCGGGGGGGAGGGGAGGCCAGAGATTAAGAGCACTGGCTGTTCTTCCAGTGGTCATGAGTTCAATTCTCAGCAACCATATAGTGGCTCACAACCATCTATAATGAGATCTGGCAAGCAGGCACACATGCAGGCAGAATACTGTATAAATAATAAAGAAATAAATCTTTAAAAAAAGAAAAAAAAAAAAAGCAGGCTGATTAAGCCATGATGAGCAAGCCAGTAAGCAGCTCCCCTCCATGGCCTTTGTATTGGCTCTTGCCTCCACGTTCCTGCCCTGTTTGAGTTTCTTCCCTGAGTTCCTTCAATAATGAGCAGCGATCTGGAAGTGCAAGTCAAATGAACTCTTCCCTTTCCTCTCCAGCATGCTCTTGGTCATGGTGTTTCAGCTCAGAATAGTAACCCTAACCAAGAGAGAATATAGAATCTTTCTAGTAGTCGCTGGCCTAGAATGTCTGTGCTCTGTAAGCAGGAAACACGAGACATGCTGCCCATTAGAACTCCCTGTAGACACACTTCACTTCCAGAAAGTCTTCTAACTGGTACGGCTTTGAGGAACTTTGGAAAACCTAGCTTAAATTTTCTTTGTGTATTCTAATATCCAAGGGGGGGGGGGGGACCAACATGTAACCTTTGAAAACCCAAGCATCAAATGTCACATTTAGTTTACCTTCTATTTTGACTTTACTGACATGTTGGCTAGCATTTGGGGAGTGGTAGAGGGAAAGAGAGGGACAGGGAGAGAGAGACACAGAGTCAGAGAGAGACGGAGAAACAAGGTTGATCTTGAGCTTAGGATCCTTCTGCCTCAGCCTCCTGGGCAGCTGAGGCAACTAGAGCCTCGCACCTGACATATGTATGGCCTTGTTTTAAAGGGGAAAGCCACAACACCAGCCTTGGAGTGGGTTGGCAGGCCTGTGATTCTGCTTGTGTGGGTTTTGTTCCTTGGGTTGCTTCTGAGAATGCCCTCAGTAGGCAAGTTAAAATGTATGCTTTGGGTGTGGTACCTGCCTGGAATCCCAGAGTTTGCAAAGTCAGGAGGATTTCAAGTTCAGGACCAGGCTATGCTACGAAGTGAGACCCTGTTTAATATATATATATGTGTGTGTGTGTGTGTGTGTGTGTGTATGTATATAATATATATAATATACATACAAATATACTCTATTGACTTATCTTCCACTTGAAAGACAATGCTTATCTACTGTAGAAAAATTAAAATTCAGAATTTTGAATTATTTCTGAAAGCAACCATTGTTTTAAAACAAAAATTTTTTGCAACTACTCAGCCACTGAGCAACATCTCTGTGCCCCCACCTCTCTCCCTCTTTTTCTTTCATTCTCTCCATCTCTCTCTGTTTTATCTTATATTACTTCTATCATATTTTATCATAACAAGTGTGATCATAGTATTCTACCCTTCATTTTTAAAGATGTATTTATTATATAAATGTTTTTAAGATTTATTTATTATGTATAAAGCGTACACACACACACACACATATATATATATTATAATGTTCTGCCTGCATCCCAGAAGGGCACCAGACCTCATTATAGGTGGTTGTGAGCTACCTGTGGTTGCTGGGAATTGAACTCAGAACCTCTCTGGAAGAGCAGCCAGTGCTCTTAACCTCTCTCCAGCCCTCTGCCCTTCATTATTAACATCCATTGCACGAATATAATTGCTTGGTTAATATTTTTCCATTAATACACGTTTTTGGTGACTTATGTAATGGTTTAGACTTAACACTCATCAAACTTTTCTAAGTTACTTCACTAAAGCCATACAAATAGAAACATTGAACTAAAAAGTACAAATGTAGGCAGGGTGTGGTGGCACACCCCTTTCATCCTAGCACTCAGGAGGCAGAGGCAGGAAAATCTCTGTGAGTTCAATGCTGGGCGGGTGGACCCAACAAGCTCCAGGCCAGTCAGAGCTCCGTAGTGAGACCATGTCGCACCCTTCCCTGTGAATGTATTTCAGGTTCTTGGTATACTGTCAACTTGTAATGTAAAATGGGGACTTACCTGGAGAATTTTTTTTCTTTTTTTTAGGTATACTTTGGATAATAATGTCCTAAGCCTGGAGCAGAGACAATTTTATGAAGAAAATGGGTTTCTCGTTATTAAAAATCTGGTGTCTGATGAGGACATTCAACGTTTTCGGTATAATTACTGTTATTTATGATTTCACAAAAAAGCATGTATTACATGAATGGAATGGTAATACATTGTCAGATTGACTTCTGCATGTTCAGAGTTTGTGTGTGAGAGAGAGATGTGTGTCTGGGATCGGTGTGTGCGCGTACCAGCACAGGCATGTGGAGGTCAGCAGACCGCCTTGCAGCGAGCTCTCTCCTTCCTCTCTCGTGTTTGCCTTCCCGTCTTCACGCCCGAGAGCTTCCTGGAGTTCTTGTGGCTCTGCGTATACTGCACAGAAGCAACGGCCGGAATATAGCTTCACACTGCCACGCCTGCCTTTGTGTGAGTTCTAGAGGTTCAAACCCATGCTTGTGTAGCAGGTGATCTACTCGGTGAACCTCCTCCCCACTCACATTCAGATGCCTTTTAACCATGGGATCTGTTGGGGAGTGTTTAGAAATACGGGTTCCGGAGCCAGACTCTCTGACTGGCATCTTAGTCCTACTCCGATGTTCTGTGACAATCCGCACATGCCTCAGTATTCCCGCGTTTAAAATGGGGCGTTTTCATCCTACTGGTGTCTCAGTGTCTCAGTGCAACAAAATACGGTAAAATAGATGGAGGACACTAGGGCCAGGGTTTGGCACTCCAGAGTTGCTAGAAGTGTTTGCTTTTCAGATTTTTTTGCACTAGGGATGTTCAGCCTGTAACATCAAATAAATTTCACTGCCAAATCTGAAACCTCCCTGAGTGACGACACGGTACAATAGCTGAAAAATCCCACACGTAGCCTCTTGCGACAGGTTGAAGCCAAAACATAGGTACGCTAAACATCATCCAGGAATGCCGTTAGGCCCGTGGTTCAGTTGTGATGGACACACAAGTAAAGTTTGTGTGTAGACCTGGATTCCATCTCCAGGATATCTCATCATGAATATGTAAATATTCCGAGTTGTTGTTGTTTTAAATCTGAAATCCAAAACAGTCTGTTCCCAGGCATTACAGGTAAGGGATACTCAACCTCTGTTATTACAATGGCACCGAATTAAGAGGTACTTCCGGGCCGCGGAGATGACCCAGGAAGTAAAGCGCTTGCTGTGACTGGCAGCACCGGGGAGAGGAGCACTCCGCGTCCGGCCAGTCTAGAGCTGTCCCAGAATCTGCAAACCTCTCCACAGGCCAGGGCCGGTCAGGTGTTTGGAGCCCACATAATGACATTCTTTGTAAATCTCATTTCAGGGCCGAGTTTGAAAAGATCTGCAGAAAGGAGGTGAAACCACCAGGGATAGTGATAATGAGAGACGTGACCATTGCAAAACTGGACCACACACTAGGTGAGCACGTGGTTTCCAAGATCCAGGATTTCCAAGAAGACGAGGAGCTCTTTCGATACTGCACCCTCCCCGAGGTGAGAACCCGGCCTGCCTTCAGGCTGACGGGCCAGTACTCTGCAAGTCTGCTTCTGGCGCCTGCTCAGTTTGCCCCAGCGGGCCCCGCCCCTTTCCTGTGGGCTTCCTAGCTGTGTGCCTCCACCCAGTTCCTTTCTGCCGAGGGTGCTGGGATGAGGCTCCTCAGCGAAGGTGACTGCCCCACACTGGCCATTGACAGCACCTGGAGACATTGCTGGTTGTCATCATTGGGTTGCAGGGAGCTAATGGCTTCTAATGGGTTGATGTCCCCCATGCTACTAATGGGACCCAGAAATTTGCTAATGCACAGAGGAGACCCAGGTCCAAAGAGAGAATTATCTCACCCCAAGCTGTCCATGGCATCATGATTGGCAGACTTTCCTATGGATTGTGTTCATTGTTGACGCCAGAGTGTCAACACTTACAAAGCTATGACTGTAATGGCTCTGGTCTGTGGAGGTATGAGATTAGGGTTTTGTTTGTTTGTTTGCTTTGTTTTGTGTTTTTGTTTTTTGGTGTTGATGACCCAACTCAGGGCCGTGTATACCCTAGTCAAGTTGCCTGCCCCCGACCCTTTAAGGTTCTGAAATACGTAGAGTGTTTCACCGGACCCAGTATATATATGGTCATACACATAGCGCTAATGTGCCCTCGAGTGTAACCCTGAGGTGCACTGCTAGCCCTGCATTTCAACAACAGGAAGTCAACTTCCTGTTGTTTTAGACCGGTCTCACTCTGTCTAACACTGACCCTGAACTCAAGACTCCTCTGCCTCGGCTTGTTCTGCCACCGTGGTTTTTCTGTGGATCATTGTACGCTATGCCATTTGCTTGTGCTTCTGATGTCCTACGAAGTTAATTTTACTGCTTTTTTTATTCCTTAGATTCTGAAATATGTGGAGTGTTTCACTGGACCCAATATTATGGCTCTGCATGGAATGTTGATAAATAAACCTCCAGATTCTGGTAAAGAACTTGTATTTGTTTGACACAAAAGAAAAGTATTGTTAGATTAAATCTGTAAAGCTGATGTTCAAACTCGGTCATATATACAACAATCAAGCTCTAGATGAAGGAATGTATATACTTTTATGTAACTTAAAACAACTTGCAACAACACTGAAGAGCAACAGGGATTTTACATAGTGACTATAAGGGTATCGCTAAATAGTCATGTAAGCTGTGGAGCTTAGCAACAATACTTCGTATATTATAAACGTCTCCCATTCAATGTGTTTTTGTTTTGTTCTGTTCTGTTTTGGAGACAGGGTTTCTCTGTGTAGTCCTGGGTGTCCTGGAACTCACTCTGTACACCATGCTTTTCAAACTTGGAGATCCCCCTGCCTCCGTCTCCCCAGTGCTGGGATTAAAGGTGTGTGCCACCACTGCCCAGTGCCTCTAAGTTTTTAACTTCATTTTTAACTATATGCATCTGTGTGTGCACATGTGCCCAGGTGCTGGCCCCTGTGCATGCGCTTCTGTGCACATGAGGGGGTGTGGATGCTGACAGCCTTGGTGTGCTCAGGAATGCTGTATATCTCCCTTGAGGCAGGGTCTCTCCCGTTAGCCTGCAGCTTACCAATCAGGCAAGGTTGGATTCTCAGTGAGTCCTGAAGTCCTCCTGTTTCTGCCTCTTCCATGATGGGATTACAAGTATGCACAATAATGCCTGACAGTTTTACATGGCTTCTGTTTTAGTTAGTTTAGTTTGGTCCTGAAGCACTAGGACCAAACTTGGGGAGGAAAGGCTTTATTTGGCTTACACTTCCACATTACAGTTTGTCATCAAAGGAAGTCAGGACAGGGACTCAAGCAAGGCAGGCACCTGGAGGCAGGAGCTGATGCAGAGGCCATGGAGGGGTGCTGCTAAGTGGCTTGCTCCTCATGGCTTACTCAGCCTGCTTTCTCATAGAACCCAGGGGATGGCCCCGCCCACAGTGAGCTGGGCCCTCTTCCATTGATCACTCATTGAGAAAATGTCCTGCAGATGACTCTCCTGGAGGCTTTTTCCCAATTGATGTTCCCTCCTTTCAAAAAACTCTAGCTTGTTCCGAGTTGGCATAAACATAGCCAGTACAGGTGCTGAGGACTGGACTCGGGTCCTTATGCTTGCAAGGCAAACACTTTACCAACTAAGCCATCAAAAGCTCTCAGCTGTTCTTAGCTGTGGCGTCATGGACTCTGCATCCCTAACCTGAAAACATTATTACGAGTAACAAAATTAAAGCTATTATAAATCACGCTTGAGTCCTTAAAGTGTCTTGTGCTTGTTTACATGTATATTCAAAGAACTCTCTACACCAGACATAGAATCCAGGTGTGTGCATTTTAATAACTAGCCCCAGAGACTATACTGCACTTGGCTCTTGACCCATACTGAGACATCCTTCTGTCAGAAGCAGAAATCATCCATGAGAGATGTTTGCCTTTTCCTTCTAACAGCAGGACCAAAAACCACAATGTCACCATGTTTCTTCCTCCAAGACTAAGGGAGCAGATGGTTAGGGAACCAAAATCCCAGGCCAAAGCCAGGGAATGTGGCCCTGACTGGGTACACACTTCTCATCCCACTAAGGACAACTTCTGACACAACCTTCAGCCACATAAAAGGGGGGACTGGAACGTAGCTCTCTATCATTTCCCTCACTTTCATTCATCCAGCTGGAGTGGGCTCCTTAGTGAATGCTTCCCTGTGACAAATCCCAAGCAGCACAGGAGTGAGGTGTAGCAGAGATGACGCTGTGTGACTGTGAGGAAGGAAGGCTCAGTGACCCTCTGGTGGAACCAGAAGAAAGCAGAAGACGCAGAGCCCTCATTGATACTTCAACTTGTTGCTTATCTCCTGAGACTGATTTCCTATCATGTTGTTTCATTTATTTGATTTTGGTAGATAGGTCAGTGTTCCAGAATTGTGTGTGTGTGTGTGTTCGTTCCAGATTTTCAGGCAAATGATAAAAGTCCAAGACTTCAGCATTTTTTGTTGACAGTGGGTTCTGTTGCAGGCAAGAAGACATCCCGGCATCCCTTGCATCAGGATCTGCACTATTTCCCCATCCGGCCCAGTGACCGCATTGTGTGTGCCTGGACAGCCATGGAGCACATTGACAGAAACAATGGTTGTCTGGTTGTGCTCCCAGGCACCCACAAAGGCACTCTGAAGCCACATGACTACCCCAAGTGGGAGGTAGGTCTGCGAAATTGCTAAATCTGCGTGTGCATGAATGTGTGTCCATGTGTATGTGCACATTCATGTGTGTGCAGGGCTTGTGTGTGTGTGTGTGCATTTGTGTGTGTATGCATCACGTGGATTCCTCAGGTGACTTCTATCTGTTTTAAATTGAATTTATTTATTAAATTTACATCTCAGTCACAGCTTCCTCCCTCCTCTCCTCCCAGTCCCACCTTCCCACACTCTGCCTTCTTCCCCCTCCCCTTCTCCTCAGAAAAGGGGGGGTCCTCCCCTGAAAACCCACCCCAGCACATCACATCAGGACTGCTTGCCAATGTGGGAGACCTGGGTACATGCCACATAAGTTCTTTCACAAAAGCCCTATGCAAGTGTGATAAATGACAAGTTAGGAATACTCACCAACTGATAGTGGATCTCAGAGTGAAGAAGAGGCACAGTCCGTCAGCCATAAATGCAAGAACCAGTAGAGACACTAAAGCAGTGGTTCTCAACCTTTGGGTTATGATGACTCCTTTGGGGTCAAATGACCCTTACATTGGAGAACACAGATATCTACATTATGATTCATAACAGTAGTGAAATTACAGTTATGAAGTAGCAGTGAGATGATCTTATGGTTGAGGTCACCACAACATGAGGAACTGTATTAAAGGGTCCCAGTGCTAGGAGGGTTGAGAACCACTGTTCTAGAGAGAGCTGGTGACTGAGCTGAGCATTTTGGGACATGGTAGAGATTCCTTCTAGGAAAGAAGTATGGTAGTCAAGGGCAAGCACAGGGATGCTAAGGAGTAAGCAGAGCTGGGCCCTCACAGTGCAGGTGGGCTGGAGGCTGCAGAGACACTGGAAAGATCAGCAGAGGGAGGACAGTTACAACTGGCTCTGGTTTGCTAGGGAACTTTCTCTTTTGTAGGCAGCGGGCAAAGTTTTCGTCTAAAGAAAAGTTTAGCATAATTGTCACAATGAAGTATACAGATCTTTGGTATATAATGTGATCATTTTGGGCATGCACACATACTGGTCACCATATGCAAGAGAATCAAAATCTCTCCAGCCTGAGTGGTCCCTGGGCACCACATGGTGGAAGGAGAGAAATGAATCCCATTAGTTATCCTGTGATTTCCACACATGTGTTGTGATAAGAGGGTCTCCTCTTCACACAGTGAATATATGTATGTATATAATTTTATAGAGAGAGAGATAGGTATGCATGCTTTTTTTCTTTTAAGGTTAAGTAAGGGTTGGTCCAAGGCACCAAGGCATCTGGAGGATTCCAGGCCATCTTAGCTTAGGTAGGGACACACACACACACACACAACACACCTTGCTGAGAGAAAAGGGCCCTGGGTTAAAACTGCAACACTAGCCTACAGGAAATGGCCATTTCCCAAGAAGGAATTTGGGATAGCCTTAGCAAGAATAGGATGCTGGGGCTGGGAGGATAGCCCAGGCAATAAAATATTTGCCTGAGGACCTGAGTTTGATCCTTAGAACTCAATTAAAAAAAAAAAAAAGCTGAGCATGGTGGGCACACTTGAAATCTCTGCTGAGATGCAAGGTAGGTTTTTCACTCCTCCTATTTTATACTTTGAGGTAGAGACTTAGGCAAGCAACTCCAGTTGAACTCAGCGAGTCAAACATGAAAAGAAGACATGGAGTAGGAAGGGAACTTGCTGGTAACAAGTGTCCCAGTGGGGTAAGGAGAGAGGAATTAGATGTAAAAATGGCTCTCATTCGTGTGTGTATGTGTGTGTGTACACACGAATGCACACAAGCATTTGGATGTGACATTTTCAAAGAATAACAGCAACAAAAGAAGCAATGTATAAAAGGGAAAATTGGACAGACGCTGAGGAGCAACATCCTAGGTTGATCTATGGATCCTTGTACTCCACCTTCCAAGTGCTGTCATTGCAAGTGTATGCCACCACCTCGGGCCTTTCACTCATTTATTATTATTGTTGTTGTTGTTGTTGTTGGCTTGCTCTGAGTGTGACATAAATGTTTTGCACTTCCATCCTGATTTTGGGAGAAGATTTAGCTTCTGAGTGATATTCCTGGCAGACAGGATGGGGATGACACAGAGGAAAAGCTCAGTAAGGAGAAGGTCAGGTTGGACAGGCCTAAGGCAAAGGTGTTTGCTTGCCTGTTGTGTTAGCCAGGGCTCTGTAGAGGAGCAGAACCGATGGGATAGATGGGTATTTTATATACGCATCTAAGTTATTAAATAAGCTTACATTAAAATAGCAGCAGCAGCTGTCCTTCGAGGCTGGGTGCTTCAGCAGCCAAAGTAGTCCCACAGCGCCTGTCTCACACAGGAGAGGCCAACAGTAGTTGCTGCTCAGTTGACCAGGCTGAGTGGGTCAGTAGTCCCAGTCTCATGTCTAAAACATGAAAGCTTTCTGGAGAGCCATCGATCCTCAGTCCACTATAGATAACCCGGAAACGCTGGTTCTAACATCGGCAAAGGAAGCAGCAGCAGCAGCAGCGGAAGGGAAGATAAAGCTCCAAAAGACAGTCTTTTGTCTTGTGCCCCCACATTTCCACCTTTTCTCTAGTGCTGCCCCTACTCTGGAAAGGTTTTCCTACACCAATTAAGGTAATCGGGAGGGAGAATTCTTCGGGTGAGGAAGGCTCCCTACTCAGGAGATTCTAAAACATAGCAAGTTAACATTAAAAGCAAGCATCACTCCTGTGTTAACCCCACGTGGCAGAGCTGGTCTGCATCAGGACTTAATTCGCTGTTACTGGGCATGTGTGGATGTCAGAGGACAGGAGTTGGTCCTCTCCATCCACCATGGGTTCTGGGTCATCAGGCTTTTGTGGCAAGTACTTTTAACCAGTGAGCCGTCCCACCGGCCCAACATGGGACTTGTAAGAAACTGACATCTGAAAATAGCTTTTATATTTAAAAACAAAACAAAACAAAACCGGAGAGTCTAATTCGGATAAGCTTTTGTTTGGGGGGAAGTTCAAGGACCCTTGTTTCCCCTGATGGACTGAAGTCTTGGTCATGCCACCTCAAATAGGAATGTGGTTTCTCTTATGTGTTCTAGGGAGGAGTTAACAAAATGTTTCATGGCATCCAAGACTACGAGAAAGACAATCCTCGTGTGCACCTGATTATGGAGAAGGGAGACACAGTTTTCTTTCATCCTCTGCTCATCCATGGATCCGGACGGAACAGAACACAAGGATTCCGCAAAGTATGTATTCAGGTTGCTACGTCTCCTCTCCGAGGATGAGTGGGCTAGAACAAAGATTTCAAGATCCGTTAAGACAGCAGGACTTCTCCCTAAGGGACCAGTTTATTGACCAGGATACATATATATTCACTCTGTTAGGTAGGACACAAAATTACCTTAAGCCCATAACCCTGTGGGCACTGAACCATGACCGTTCATGAAATTTCTTCTGAACAAAAGTGTCCTTTTCTGCTTTTGAGGCAAACGCGATGGCAGAATTACCAAAGCAGTGTCATTTGGAATTCATTTTGTTCATTCTAAGCACGACAGGAGGGAAGTTTATAATATCTTCACTACTGAGAAAAATAGTATTGATCCAAAACAATATTGAGTAGCGAACGGCACATACAAATCGGATTCAGCAGGCACTCCTGTCTTTTCACTCCTTAGTTTCAGAGTGCTGAAACCTTAACACTTTGCTTCCTACATTAAAATTTTCTTCACAAATAACCCAACTTCTCAGTTCAACAAGTCCAGCAGATCTGCTAGTCCCACGGGTCTGAACTTCCCCGTGGGATCACTGTGGTCTATACCAAATATCAAGACTCCTTTGGGACTAAGTGGGGCTTTCTGGTTTGTCACATGGTTCCCGCCACCCTTGCTGTTGTTTGAGCACAAAGATAAGGTGCCAGACTTACCTTCCATTTGCTTGTATTCCCACTAGGTTCTTGGGAGCTTTGAACTAGGCGGAGGGAGGTGGAGGAGCTGCCTTGGGGCAAAACTTAAGGGACTTCCAAAAACCCAGCAATCAAGCTAAATAATATATATTTTAAAGATTTTATTTACTTTATGTATGGGTGCTGTGTCTGCATGTTCACCTGCATGCCAGAAGAGAGCATCAAATTCCAGTGTCGATGACTGTGAGCACAATGTGGTTCCTGGGAATTGAACTCAGGACCTATGGAAGAGCAGACAGTGCTCTTAACCGCTGAACCATCTCTTCAGCCCACTAAGTAATATTTTAATGAATAAAACTCAAACAGCCATGCTGCTTACTGTGCAAGTATGGGGTAGAAGCATTGTAATACAACTAATACAACATTTTGATATACTGAATTTGTACTTTTCTATATTTTTCTAGTGTCTTGAATATTCTAGAAAAATATTCAGCATTGTTTCATAATTCTGAATCATCTGGAATAAATTCAGCAGTTTTTATATGTAAAACGACTCTTTGCATATTGAGTCAGTAACTATATTAAGAGATTCAGGAAAATCTAATAATACCATAAGAATGGCATACAGCTCATATTTTTTAACTGAATCATAAGGCTTTGATCAATTTTACTTTTCTTTCCTGATGTATGATCTGCTCTTTCTGATTTATTTCATCAGTACAGAATGTAGGGGCTCCAGAAATTGGTGTCCCTTTTACTATATGAGAGAGAATACAGTTAGTTCTTTTTATAAAGTGACATCTATTGCTTTTAGGATATTTGTTGTTAATCTCTCCCAGTTTTTTTTGCATAAAAAAAATTTAATTAAAAAACATCTTCAATTATACCATAGCCAAACATGACTCTGCATACAAATACATATATAGTGTATAATTTTGTATTTGAATAACTAAGTAAACCAGACATATTAGCAACTGAATATTAACTGAGTGCCATCTGAGAAGTTACAGTGACAGTTATGATCTGTCCAGTCACCTGAATTGAGAAGAATCATTTTGCATATGCATATCAGAATGAAGAAATTGTTGGCACAGATGCATTGGAATTTTAAAATGTAATAAATGTTTAATCAATTATTATTAATAATACACAATATTAATAATTAATACAACTATTACTATAAGTAATAATAGTAAATCAAATTTATAACTAGACACATGTTTTTAATGTATACTGGGATTTTAAAAACACATATTTCTGTTTCTACTATGCATGGAGAGTATGTCGTTTTTGTATACTTAACTTACTCTTCTTTCTTTTTTGCTTCCTTTCTTTCTTTCATTACTCAATTTACATCTTGGTCATAGGCCCCTCCCTCCTCTCCTTCCAGTACCCCCTGCTTCCCACATCTTCCTTATTTTTCAGAGTAGCGGAGCCCTACCCCCCCCACCCCCCCCACCCCCCCGCTCATCTATTCATGATGACTGTGTTTATCTTCTAAATTGTGGCATGGTAAGGCAGTCCCATTAGGGGGAAGTGATCAAAAAGCAGACAATGGAGTCCATGTCAGAGATACACCCTCTTCCCCTTACTAGTGAGCCCACATGAAGCCTGAGCTTCTCATTAGCTATATATGTAGAAAACCTAGATCTAGTCCATGCATTGTCCTAGGTTGGTGCTTCAGACTCCACAGGCCCCTTTGGGCCGTGGTTAGTTGGCTCTGTTGGTCTTCTTGTGGAGCTCTGGTCACCTTTAGGTCCCTTTATCCTTCCCCCTACTTTTCCACTAGGCTGTCTATGCTTCGCCCCATGTGAGTCTCAGTATCTTTTAAACCTTTGCTGGTGGAGCCTATGAGAGGATCCTGTCTGCAAGCATAGCAGAGTATTTTTGCTAATGTTAGGGGTTGTCTTCCTTCCATGGGGTGGGTCTTAGGGTTGGGCCTGGCATTGGTTGGGCATTCCCTCAACTCTATCTGTCCCTCTGCTCTATCTGTCCTATCTTTGTCCCTGCAGGTCTTGTAGGCAGGGTAAGTTTGGACTGAAGTTTTTGTGGGTAAGTTGGTGCCCTCCTCTGTCCACTAGTAGTCTTGGCTAGTTAGTGGGTATCCTCTTCAGTCTCCACACTAGCCTCTGCTATTAGGAGTATCAGCTAGAGTCCCCCTCATAGCCTCCCAGAGGCTGATTCTGACTTAGGTCTCCAGCTGCCACCACTCACTATTTCTCTTTTCTCTGTAGGCCTTCTGCCTTCTGCTTCCACTCTCCCCAGGTCTGATCTCCACCCTTATTTCTCTCTGTGCCCCCTCCTCTACCTTGTTCCCACTTTTCAGTCACTATTCTATTTCCCCTTTCGAGTGAGATTTATGCATCCTTCCTTGGGTACTCCTTGTTACTTATCTTCTTGGGGTCTGTGCATTGTAGTATGTCTATTCTGTGCTATATGACTAAAATCTGCTTATAAGTGAGTACATACCATGAGTGTCTTTCTGGGTCTGGGTTATCTCACTCTAAATGATCTTTTCTAGTTCCATCCATTTGCTTGCAAATTTCATGATTTCCTTGTTTTTAATGTGTAAATGTACCACAGTTGCTTTATCCATTCTTCAGTTAAGAGACATCTAGGTTGTTTCCTGTCTCTGGCTATTACAAATAAAGCTGTTATGGACATAGTTGAGCAGATGTCCTTGTTGTATGATCCATAATACAAGTATCTTTTTGGGTGTATGCCCAGGAGTGATATAGCTGAATCTTGAGGTAGGGATATTCCCTGTTTTCTGAGAAAGTGCCAAATTGATTTCCAAAGAGGTTGTAAAAGTTTGCACTTCCACTAGCCATGGAAGAGTGTTTCCCTTTTTCCACATCCTCACCAGCATGTGGTATCATTTGAGTTCTCTCCCAAAAAAATTACTTCAAGCTCTTCATCTTCTGTCCATAATGAGGCAATTTCAGCATTAGTAAAAGGTTACCATAATTTCTGCTGGATCTATTCCTGCTAATTGACAAAGTCTCATTTTTCCTTTCAGAATCAATTCAGAAGCCTTTTCTACATAAGTCTTTAATTTTTTACTTTGTTTATGTGCTATAAATATTTGTTCTGAGATACTATCTTCTCAGATCAAGGACACTGTTTCTGAATTATTTCTAATGACTGTTATATAAAATATTGACCCACGGTAGAAGTTTTAGAATTCCTTGTAGTAAGACTTTCCAATGATATCTCTTTATTGGACAACTATTATTATAAGTAGGAACTGAAAAAATAACCCTTTCCCTATCATGCTCATACAAAGGGATTGTGAAAACCCAATCTTTTAGATCAATTGCTATCAAAAGCCATGATTTAGATAATAGAGAAGGCAATGGGATTCCAATTGTAAAGAGCCCATTGGCTGAATCATTTATGGCTCTTAGATTTGTTAATATCCTCCATTTTCTTGTTTATTTTTTTATAACAAACGGGCATTTCATGGGCTGGTAGATTCTTTAATGTGTTGAGCATGTAGCTGCTCCTGTAGCAGCTGTTCTGGTACCTGTAATTTTTCTTTTTCTCATAGGCAGTTGTTCCACCCATATAGGCTTGTCAGTTAACCAGTTTAAAAGTCGGGCAATTGCTACCCTGCTTATGGACAATTTGAACAGTCTGTGATTGTTCTTGGTAATACCTTTTAATACTTTTCTCAGAAGCATTTTTTTATTTCATGGTTTGTTTTTGAGATTGGAAGAATGTTAATCAGTGTTTTCCATTGCTGGAATAAATCACATGCCCATATATTGTTGTAATACAGTAATTGCCACACAAACCACTCAAACACCAATCTCAGTGAGATATGAAAGGTTTATTGAACATAACACCCCTAAGACTGACCATGACCAGGAACACAATCTGGGCTCAGGAGCCAGAATGTGATGCTGGTCTGTTTCTAAGGTAGCCCTTTTATAGGGAAAATTGTAACCAGGAGCAACCAGGTTGCAACCTAGTTGCAACCTGATTAGGTGTAGGACCAGTTAAACAAAATATTTCCAAGTATATTGTATCTAAGGTAGTTAGACGAAGCATTTCAAGCTGATTGGATAGAATATTAGGCTTAGGGACTTTCCACTTCCCCACCTTTCTGGGAGGAAAGAACTTAGCAGGGTATTGTGGTTTTGTTTAAGTAGAACATATGTCATTAATTCAAGCATTACATTCAGCAAGTATTGAATTGTAAGTAAAAGGCTAGTCTCAGGCAGGCAGAACCTGAGCACCTGAACTTAATTTCACCTTATGATCAAAATGAAGACTTAAAAATAAGATGGTTTCTGTTTGCTAAAGACAAAAAGCAGATGTTAACAGAGGAGCCACCGTTATTCTAAGAACTAAAGTAGTTCTCAATGGAAGGGCTATAGATTTTAAGCAGGTTAAATAGGTTACAACAATATTAACCACATATAGTAGTAATTTTCCTAATTGTTCTTCTGGGCCTATATACTTGAACCATCTTATGCTTTGCTTTACCTAAGATAAAGTTTCAATCCCTAGAAGCTGAATATTTATTGGCCTGAAGAGGCCAATCTAGATACCAAGATTTTGGTCAAATTATTGTTACATCTATTCCTTTATATACTAAACCTTTAATTTCAATGCCATTTATTTGTATTTTTAGCTTTGGTCTCTGATCATTTATAGCAGTTTGCTAAAATACTTGTTTTTAATGTCATCTGAATTTTTTGTTTGAGCTGCTGATGCTGTTCTGTCCTTGATTACATCCAGAGCAGTGTTGTTTTTAATGACAAGCATTAAATCTTTTAATTGCTCTTTGGATGAGTCTCTCTAACTCTGACAGGGAATGATTGAATCAAATTTTATCTTGGTGCCTGTAGGAGGCCCCGAGGGCATTTTTTGATGGCAAAGGGTTACCCTTGTTGATCTGCATTCATTAGTTCAATGCTGGCCTTTGCCATACCTTCTGCATACTCCAGAAGCTTGGGGCCTTCTTTTTTGGATTATCTCTAGAAAAAAAAACATTGTTTCTAGGAGTGCCTTGCCTACAGTCTTTTTTCAAATGACCTTGCTTACCACAATTAAAAATTTGACATTTTGATTTTTCTTAAAACTTTTAGAATTTACTCTCAGAGTAGCATCATAAACATAAGATCTAATAACAACTGTATTTCTAATCCATTCTTCTATGAGTGCTGATCTTGCCTTTAAAGGTCCTTTTGCATTCTAAATTAGCATTTTCATAAGCCAAAGATTCTTTTAGTATTTGTCTGACTTCTGAATCTGACACTATTCTATTTACAACTAAAATTAATCTTTGCAAAAAAAAAAAAAAAGAGTCAATTTTATTGTGATTTTTAGAAAACTGTGCCTGTTTCTCAGTTTCTCTCTTAACCCGGCTATCACACAAATAATTGACCCTTATAATATTTAAACAAGCTACACAGCACAAAAACTGAGTAGTTATTACTCTATTCTTAACCTTGTCAGCTAATTTGGCTTCCTCCCAGCGTACATCCCAGAGATACTTGTACTTTGTAGCCTTTATGTTCTAACCCTCTCTCCTGTTGTCTCCTGGCCATCTTCCATGACCATTGTAACTGAGGACCAGTTTCCAATATTGCCATTGCCAGGTCTCTCCAGTCTTGGGAATAATTCTGTTCTGAGTTGCCTATGAATTTCATATCTGCTTCACACAGTGTTGAAACCATTCTATAGGAAACAACCACTTTCTTAAATCTCCTCAAATCTAATATGTCTATAGGATTCCATTTAACTTCTTCATAACCTTGGGGGTGCCTGTCATCTCCTAGTATGTTTTGTATAGTAACTGGATAAACTAAGGTTGGTTTTCTAAAAACCTTGGTCTGCCTATATTTGGTATAATCATGCAGTCACATATTAGATTCGTGTGTAAATTCCTCTGTCTGAGTATTTTTCATTTTTATTTATTAGCCTGTTTAATTTTTCTTCTAAGGCTTATATCTTTTCAGTCACTTTTACATTTTTCTTTTTCCTGTATCTTTAAAGCATTTTTTTTTCTTTGAGAGGTCACAGAAAACCACTATGGCTACTAAGGATAAAATATGAATTACACAGCTTATAGTAATTATAATCAATATTATGTCAATCTCAGTAAAGTCATTTAGCATTTCATTTTCTGCTATCTAAAGTAGCATTATACAGGGCCCTAAGGCCTTGTATTATGGTATTTCCCACCCTTTCCTCTCTTTGAGGACTTCCTACATGACTTACCAAATCTGATGACATCTCAGAGAATCATCACAATGGTGTGATTTCTCTGCCCATACATATAGTTGTACTACATGTTGGAATGACAAATGTTGTTTCTAACAAAATCTCATTCATTTGATTTTACCACTGAAGACTCTGGAGCCAGAGCCTGCTAGGTCAGAGAGGCAGAAAAAGTCTGAAAAAAAAAATCAAACTGAATGTCCCTCTCTTCTACTTCCTTTTTGTCTCTCTATCTGTCCTCTTCTTCCTCTTATTCTCTTTCTGGGACTCACAGGACAGAGGGAGAGAATCAACCCTTAAGAGTTGTCCTCTGACCTCCATGCAGATACACACACACACACACACACACTTAAAAACTTAAAAATCTTTTGTAAATTCTTAGTTAGCCTCTAGTCTTGGAAGAGGAGCTAAGCTATGCATGAAGAGACTGATTTAGGATACTATAGACTGTCTTTCAATTGAAAAATCAAATCCATAGTGAAATATGGCCTTTTTTGAATGACTCTGACTGACTCAGGGGCATAATGGGATTAATAAATTACTTTTCTCCAGTAACAGTTTATCCTTTCTGCACAGGCAATTTCCTGCCACTATGGCAGCTCTGATTGTAACTATATCAGCGTGAAGGGCACCAGTCAAGAAAACATCGAGAAGGAAGTTACAGAGATAGCAGGAAAGAAATACATTGGACTCCAAAGCAGCATTGACTTAAAGGTACCTGCATGAAATTACAAAGAAGGCTTCTCTTTCTTCAGATTTAATTTGAAAGCACACAGGCTTCTGTTTTGTGCTCACTTCCGAGCTGTTGCTGAGCCCACTAAGAATGACATCATAGGGCCTTAGCTATGGATAGTCAGTGTTGTTGCTAATCAATCCCCAGCAGTAGGCACATCCACCTTTGAAAGCTGGTTTTACTTTCTTTGTCATCACAAATGCAGGTTTGGGGCTCAAGGACACTGATTAGTGGTAACAGGGCAGGGGCAGGGGGAGGGCTCCTACAATAAGTCATATAGATGTCATGCTCCCACGCTGTCACCACTCTAGACTATTTTGATTCTCCTCCTCGAACCTACAAAGGTGAGAATGTGAGATCTATATAATCATTTAATCTCAATAATGAAATAACCTTGAGCTAGTGGTGGAGCACTAAGAGTTCCAAACCAGCCTGGTCTAAGAAAGAAAGAAAGAAAGAGAGAAAGAGAGAAAGAGAGAGAGAGAGAGAAAGAAAGGAAAGAAAGAGAAGGAGGGAAGGAGGGAGGGAGGAAGGAAGGAAAGAGAAACAGGAAGGAAGGAAGGAAGGAAGGAAACAGGCAGGCAAGGAAGGAAGGAAGGAAGAAAAAAGAAAGGTAACAAAAGAGAAAAGAGAAGAAGAAATCACTTCGGATAATTAAAAACAAAAGCTACAAATATGTCCTAGGTCTGAATATACTCTGATATTTGCAGGCCCTAGAAATCCATACCTTTCATCACCCTCTGTTCCGGAGTTAAAATGCCTCACACAGGTAACAAGGTTGTAATGAACTCTCCTGGTGTAATGTTCCATATTTGCAGAGTTGGCCACTGAAAAACTGTAAACTATTAAAAGTATTTGGGTCTGGAGAGATGGCTCAGTAGTTAAGAATGAGAACTGCTTTGGCAGAGGACCTAAGTTCACCTCATTACAGGCTTAAAATGGCTCCTCCAGCTTCACGGGGTCAAACACCTCTGACCTCTTTACGTACACTGAGCTGACATGCACATATTCATACATAGACACACCTATATCCTTGAAAATAAATTAAACATTTTAAAAAGCATATGTACTGAACATATACAGAAAATTTTTATCACTCTTGCCTTAAGCAGTAAAACAGGTATTTATATGACATTTGCATGGTATATGGTATAGGGAAGGCTATATACAGGCTCTGTGCAAATGCTGTGTCATTTCATACAAGAGACATGCAGTCCCATGGATTACGTTATCCAAGATGAGTCCTGGACTGGACATCAGGCTTGAGGTTGGTCAAGGTTGTGCTAAATGAGACCTCAGATACTGACTTTACCTGCTTGGTAATTTATAGTTCATCAGGTTTATTTCAAAGAACAATGTCAAATCCCACTATGTAATTATTTCTAAGAGACAAAAACACTTTCATGTCACTCATATTCCTCACTAAACTCCAATAGAACAGTCAAAATAAATAGCTCCCTGCCATTTCTTTTAAATGCTAGTGGTTGATCTAAGTGGCGGAATTAGGTTTTAGAGCTGACCTAATTCATTCTTTCCACCATACCTTATGGCTTGCTCAAAAGGTAAACAATAAATAAGAAAAGATAAGTTGCATTATTTGGAATAAAAAGGAACTGGGCATGGTAGCTAACTCCTGTGGCTGCAGTACTCTGGAAGCAGGAGACTGTTGCAAGTTCAGAGCCAGCCTGGGCTACAGAGTCAGCCTAGGCTGACCTGGGCTACTGTTTACAGTAGACCCTATCTCAAAAATAAAACCCAGGCCAGCAGGGAGACTCAGAAAGTAAAGGTTCTTCCACCAAGTCTAAGGACCTGAGTTCAACCCCCGCTACACTAACAGGGTGGAAGGAAAGAACCAACTCCCACAAGTTGTCCTCTGACCTGAACACGTATACTGACGCACACACGTACAAATAAAAATAAAATGTATTTTTAAAAATTCAAGAAAAACAAAGAAGGAAGAAACAAAATTTAAAAGCAAACTAGTAACCCGTGACATCTTTTTCCACTATTATAATCTAGTCTTGAGTAGAATCCTCAACATTCTTCAGGCCACAGGAAAGAGAGCTGGTAAACAGTTTGTACGCGGCCAAGCATTGTGTGGGCCTAGTTGCATCACTGCCATCCCTGCCTGGGTCAGATCTGTCAGGGCTGGTAGCTGGGAACCTATTACTTAGCACAGCGGCAACTACTGGCAGGTAGAGTAATTGGAGTCCCAGAACTAATCACCATAACTAACCATCTATGGAGGCTTCAACCCTTTTTTCTCATGGAGAACAGGGCAATGAAAGTGTCCCACAAACTGTTTGATATCATTTCAGGATACTTGGATATTTCGAGCCCGACTTGTGAAAGGAAAAAGAATAAACCTTTGAAATAGCCCTTCAAGAGTTAAGCATGGTGATGCGTTCCCATAATCCCAACACCGAAGAGGCTGAAATGGGAGCATCAACATCAAGAGTTCAAGTACAGCCTGGGCTACATAGCAAGATTCTATTCCTGCCCCATGAACAAAACAAAATGAATTAGCTCTTCATTGTGATTTTTAAAAAGGAAACAATCAAAGCAAAGCAAGATGTCTAAGAAAAATGTTTTCTTTCTGAGATGATAGCATCTTTTCTATTACCTGTTAACAAAATCAAGACACATGTACGGGGACTTAATTTCATGGCTTTAATTCTGCAGTTCTTTCATGGAATGAAACATTACTGTTTTCAGAAAAACTCACTTGGGGTCTAATAAAGGTGACTGAGTGTAATGTAAGCATACCCAGTCAATTTCTCTCGTTCCACAGCACTCCACCATAGCAGAAATGATTTCTTGCAAGTTCAGTCTGCATCAAGTTGTGCATCCCTCCCCTCATGAGCCTACCTCCTCCCGGTGTCGTCTCGTAGAGGATTTTGTTCCATTTAGAACATACAGTGAATACTCACAGCTACTGGTGGGCAGGAGAGCACTGTAGGGGCGAATAAAGGTTGAACCTCATTTTCTCACACATGTGTCCTTGCAAGATGTCAACCTGACACCTTCCACAAAACACAGACTGCTCATGCCCGGTGCTTTTCTTTGATGCCTAGAGTGAAGATAAGGGTGCGGTATTTTCTGTTGGGGAGGACAACTGAAAACCTTCTACCTGTGTGAGTGAACGCTCCCTCTTTCAAACACAGGGCTTTCGGGATCCTTCAGTTTCTGTTAGTGTTGGCGCTTGGACTCTGGTGACTGCCGAGTCCTTATTCCTCACCAGGTGAGGGCAGCAGAGAGATGTCCTCCTTAGTTTTCAAAATTTTAGTTAGGGCTTTGGTAAGGAGAAAAGAGCAAGCTCCTTTCTTGAGATTCTGCTGAACACCAGTTTTCCTGAATTCAGTACTTTGTGCTTATCAGTTTCTTTGTCAAGATAATGCCCCCCCCCAACACACACACACACTTTAAGCCTAGCTTCAGTGAGCCCAGAACTGTGGGTGTGCTATGCAAATGTTCTACCACTGAGCTACATCCTGAGCCTTCATTTTTGTTTATTTTAGATAGGGTCCTTGCTGCATAGTTCCCCAGATGACTTGGAACTATATAGCCCAGGCTGGTCTTGAACTTGAAATCCTTACAATTGCAGTGCAACTTTACCCATCAAGCCCTCTCCACCAAGACATCACCAAACTCCCAAATTTGCTTTGTTTCTTATTTATCTGCATGCCTTCCTTTTCAGCACTATAAGCTCTCCCTCCTGCTGCTCCTGGCTCTACTATACCATCAGCCACTTCCTCCTTTCTTTCCTTTGTTCTTTCAACAGCCTGATCCGAGCCCCACCCTCCTCCCCTCCCAGTCCCACCTGCACACCACCTCCCCGCAAATCTCCCTCTTTTTCTTCCCAGAGAAGAGGAGGCACCAAAGGGCTACCAACCCACCCTGACACAACAGGACTAAGTGCATCCTCTCCCACTGAGGCCAGACCAGGCAGCCCGGCTGGGGGGAGGGGATCCAGAGGTACGCAGCAGAGTTAGAGACAGCCTCCACTCCCATAATGTTGACCAAGCTGCACACTGCTACATGTATGTATAGTGGTCTAGGTCCAGTCCCTGCATGTTATTTGGTCCACTCTCTGTGAGCCCCGTGGGCTCAGGTTAGTTTACTCTGTCATCCGTCACTTTGTCAAGGAGCCCTGACTCCCTTTCTGGCTAATGGTATTAGAAACAAAAATCTAGGTACTCGGTGTAGGATCGGGGTGCTGGGTGTACTCCTAGTACCCTGTGGTCACACTCTGCAGTGACAGTTGTGTACCTCAATGCTGGGAATCCCCTGCTGCAGCACCCCTGGAGGTAACAGGCACCTGGTCTCAGAGTGTCTGATCTCAAGGTTTCTATGTGTTCTCAGAGACTCTGGAGAACATTTGGTCCCTGAAATGGCCAGACTTTTCTTCATTCTCCTTGAGGATGCTCCTTTTCCTGGAACATCCAGGAAAAGGATGGGAGATGGTGGGGAGATGAGGGAACAGAACCTTTGTATTTATTTGATTTCAGCTGAACCACACGAGTGTATGACCTACTTGGAAGCTAGAATGCATTGTAAAGTGAAGTAATTAACCAAGCAGAAAGAGACAGCGACAAGCCCTCAGAAATACAAGTAAAACTCACAGCCCAGTGAGTCTTCGGGCCTTAGGTCAGGCATCAGGCTAGCAGGAGCCACAGCGTCAGCTCTGCTCTCAGCTTTGTTGCCCAGGCTCTCCAGCTTCAGTGACTCTGCCCTGGAGCAGGTAGGTGGCCAGAGGCGACATAACCAAAGAGTGTGGTTGGGAACCAAGGACACTGTTTGCAAAAACAGCTGCCTGCCAGAGCCGCTGCAGGCTGTAGTTTGCCCATTCAGATCTAATGAAAGTACAAATTCAGTAAGCAAGTGAGTGCTCTGCATCCTGGCAAAAGGCACCCCAGCACCAACGATGCCTCCAAGCCTGCAGAGCTACTTCTTCAGGGGCTGTGGGAAGGCCGGGCTGGAGTCATCTTCCCTATGCTGTGTGGCATGCTGAGGCTCCCCTGCACCACACACAAAAATGTGGCTATTTTTTAAATTTTTGTTATTTATTTACTTGTTTATTTATTTAGTTAGTTAGTTTTGTTTTGAGACAGGGTTTCTCTCTGTACCCTTGGCTGTCCTAGAACTCATTCTGTAGATCAAGCTGGCACAGAGATCCTCCTGCCTCTGTCTCCAGAGTGCTGGGATTAAAGGCATGCACCGATTTTTAATCTAGGTTAAATTTCGGTAAGTATTTAAAGTTTAAACCCTACAGGAGGAGCAGCCAGAGTGGAGATAAGAGAGGATAATGAAGATGTATGAATATGATCAAAGTACATTATAGTCATGCCCCAAATCCATAATCAGACCTACTATGTGGTACAACTAGTACATACCAATACAAATGCCTCTCCCCTAGAGTCCTTGAAGTGTCACTTGTAACCCATAAAGGACCTGCTCTGAGGTGTGCTGGAAGATGACCAGACCCTCCTGGGTTCCAACTGGATCCAGCAGTCAGAACAACAGAAAGTGACTTTGACAATTAAAAAAAATCCAAGGGTAAGGATGTCAGGGACACAGGGATGTCACACAGGCCAACGTAGGGACAGATGGGTTGGTAGCTGGGGGGTGGGGCAGGAGGATATGATGGCCACTCCCTACCCCACACCTGGGTTCTTGGCTTTGGAATCCTAGGGGCAGGTTCCACTGGATGAATGTGAGCCCCAGACGGCCTACAAGTTGCTGCAGAGTTGGGGGTCGGGTGGAGGAAGGGCCCTTCTTTCTTATTTTTATTTTTTAATTCTTTTTAAGACAGGTTCTCATATATCCTACACTGGCCTCGAGCTTACAACCTTGAATTTGTAGTTCTTCCCTCTCCAGTGCTGGAATTACAGCTGTGTCCCACCCCGCCTGGTTTATGTGGTGCTGGGGATGAAACCCGGGGCTTCCTGAATACCAGATGAACGCTCTACCAACTGAGCGTGAGCCTCAGGCCGGTTCTTCCATGTTTGTGATCCAAGATGGCCACCATCTCTTTCAAGACCATACATTATGGTGGAACAAAGATGGACCCAGAGCAAGGTCATCTTGAAAAGAGGAAGAGGGCTGGCAGACACGGCACTGTCCACGACGACACTCCTAGGGCGTTCTGTCCCACAGCTGAGCTTCACAGCTATTTTTCAATAAAAAAGTTTAGATTTGTGATTCTTTTAAGATCTTTGTAAGATTACCTTATAAGACTAAGAAAATAATTGATCCTTTCTTTGTAACTGCAGCTTGTCAGTAAGAGAAACTGGCTGAGAAAAATTACCTTGCTTGCTTATGCTTTCTTGATGTATAACAAGTTGTTTAGTTACAAATCTATGTGGGTTATTGGGAATAATTTGTTTATTCACCCATAATAAGAAAAATATTTGATCATGTGAGGGTATTGGGGAACATGTTTTGTTTTGTTTTTTTCTTACGTGTACTCCTTGTAATTATTCACTTCAAGAAAATAAAATATAACCACTGTGATTTTTGTACTGCTTGAAAGATTTTTCTGAGGTACATAAGCTGTGGAAGAATAAATAAATAAATAAATAAATAAATAAATAAATAAATAAATAAATTAGATAAATAAATAAAGCTTTGCTCCATCCACCAAATATGTGTTTGTATGTATGTATGTATGCATGCATGCATATATGTAAGTATGTATGTATGTAAAGTGGTTGGAACTTGTTGAAGCTTGCTTCATCGTGTGTGTGTGTGTGTGTGTGTGTGTGTGTGTGTGTGTGTGTATATTCCCTCATGTTTTTTGACAGCTTCAGAGAGTACTTCACTAGCCCCAGGGACTATTTCATAAGCCCCAGAGAATCAATTGCCAACTCTAGGCCCCACCTCACTTTACCCTGGATGTCAAAGCTGGTCTTTGAGAACATCCTATCTCTAAAAATAAATTAAAATAAACAAAACAAAAAATAAAAACAAAAAAAACCAAACCAGGAGCTAGGAATGTAGCTCAGTAGGTAGAATGTTTACCTAGCATGCATAAAGTCCTGAGTGCAAGTCTCAGCACTGCATAAAACTGAATGTGGTTGCCCACTCCAGGATTCTGAGCATTTGGGTGTCAGAGGCAGGAGGAGCAGAAATCCAAGGCGACCCTCAGCTACATCATGAGCTGGAGGCCAGCCTGAGGCCCTGACTAAAAACAAGCAAAACCCCTGACTTCCTCACCATGAAAACGTGTAAAGCCGTCACACATCACATCGGTAAGAACTCCATTTAAAACTTTGCTTGAGCCATGGGAAGGAGGACCACATTTTTCTTTGATGGAGTCTTGAATGCTACACACCTGAAGTACCCAAGGGTCTCCCAGTACTCAGAGAGCTGGAGACCCTTGGGTAATTACAAAAATGAGTACAAAACCAAATTCCCAGTGGGACAAGAGAGGGTTAACAGGAGGGAACAAAATTGAAATGCATTAGGTAGATGTATGAAAATAACATTGAAATACATTATTGTGAATAATTAATACGCGGTAATACATTTTAAAAACTGCAAAACAGGAAAGTAATTATTTTTCAAGAATACCGTGGCCACATACATAGAGTGGCGACCTGCTTGTTATTGGACAGTTTGCCTTGTTAGATTCTCATTCCTTGAAAGGGATGTGGGAAGAAAACTAATGAAAGGCTTAGAAGTGAGGATTTCATAAAGGGCGAAGCCAGCCCCAGCCCTAGGAAATGGGCCTAGACTGACAAATTTTGAGGGACTGGGAG